GCAGTCAAGCTGTAGACCTAGCTATACAGGAGTTGCAGTGGTGGGAACGAGAGGTGGGAATAGCCCCGTAGGTAATGTAAACCCATAACGATGTAGTCCATACATAAAACGGGGAGTTTCAACTAAATTAAATTTAGTCAGCAGTGTCACCCGTCTAAATAATGAATCTTTCAGGCTATTCCCGAAGGCTGTAAAGCAAGCAATTCGCCTGGATGTTTTTTAGGAAGGCAAATATCAATTTGTCTTCAGCTGAAGGTAGACGCCGTTAACCCGCGGAGCGATAGCAGTAAACACACGCACTATAAATATTTACGAGCCGCCTGATAACGCGACTGTCTGCACTAGTGTGACAGGTATTGGCTCTACTACAGTCTGCGCACTAAATAAACATTTATAGAGACTCTGAACCGTCTAAGTGGTGGCAACATCATTTCACTTACTCTGAAGGACGAGATTAAAGCGTTATGCGCCACGCGGCTCACCGGTGAGTCTCGAACAATTTACTATGTATATTGTCTCGGCAGTCAACGACTTATATACCATATTTGGCTGGAAGGCTGCCGATTTGTGTTGCGGACTGTACACTAGCGTGAAAGGCATTCGTATTCACAAACGCCGCCAAATTTGATTAAAGCTCAGGTGTCTAATGTTACCAACGAGAATAATGGGATGGGAATTATTTTTTTTTATTGACAACCCATTTTTTTCTTTAATCTATATGAAAACGAAATTATTTCATTTCGTTCGTGGTATTCGAAATATGCGTCTTTGATATACGGTACGGTTCTTACGAAACGTCTGAAATCAGTTTTAAAAGAAGTGATCAGTTTTTACGACGGCTTTGCTAGCCTATACCTATGTATAAAGTTACTCAAATACCTTGTTCTACCAAAATAAACAGTTATCAACCCTAGGGCCAAGTTCTTTAAACTGAGATAAAATATTTGAACAATTTTATGCGAATCCGACATTTGATTTGCACGCTGGAAAGATCAATCATGGTTATAATCACCTCTTTTCTGTATTGAGCCAAACTGTTGAAAAATACTTTTAAAATGGTATAGATGACCAACAATGAACTGTCCCAGCTATGATATTGTCAGGAGGGCGCTACTATTTCGATTTTTGCCACGTTAGACGTTTCAGATTCGTGGGACTATAAATAAATCAACTATAGAGGTAGTAAATGTATGGTATGTTAAAGACATTTTTCAGATGAAATCGCGCAGCATATACCTAGTCAGACAGTATACCTAGATGTAGAGATATACAAACAAAAGTGTAACCAAAAATGTCTGCATTATGTAGAATTCAGTTAATGTTAATACTAATTAATAAAAGAAACCCTCAAAACTGATAATGCGATTGGAATTTGGAATAAGAGCCCGTACACATTTCACAATGACATGACGTAGCTGTGAGCGCGGTACTCTGCCAGCAGACACATTAATATCGTACATTACGACACATTGTACGTTGATACGGTAACCCCGGAGAATTCATTTTTATTTTTTAGTCTAAAGTGAGTTAATTACAAAGAAAGTTGTCAGATTTCATAGGATCCCTGACTGGATAGCACTAAAGCCCGTCTTTCGACCGAAACGAAGATGTACCTACTCGTACCTCTAATTTACATCTATCTTCAAAATGCAATGGATTTTTACCCAATAAATGCTGAGATTTTGGAGGATTCTAGATACCACATAATTCGTTTTTAATTACATATTATTCTTTTCATTATTACATACTTCCGAAGTAAAAGAAATTAAGCAAACTAGCCTATTTCTTAGCTGAAACCGTTAATCATATAGGATCTAGAGTGTGGGATTCGAAGGATTGGCCATAATAAAGAAGCTAAGGTGTTAGTGCTTCTTTCCGAGCGGATAATATTGTGCTCGGGGACCAAAGTCCAATTTACACCATGTTGGTTTTCCTATACTACCTATATGCTGGGCAGGGTACCTAAAAACTCCGACACCGCGATGCAGGATTGTACGCGCGGTGGTATATGCCATAGTGAAGTCGTAACAGTGCTATCTGTTGGTACACTAGTTTGTAGTGGCGTATCATAGATGTCGCCTCAAGAGTACCTAATGATACTTACTAATTACTATTAATTTAACCAAAAATAGGTTATTATAAGGTTTAGAACTTCTTCGCAGTAGCAGGAAGTCACTGGACGCAGGTCGCTACCGACCGGGAAACATGTAAAGTATCGGGGGATGCCTATGTTCAGCAGTGGACGTCTTATGGCTGAGATGATGATGATGACGAAGTTTATCATAAAAGGTTTTCTCTTTGCGCCATATTTTGTCTTTCTAATAACTCTACGGCCCTCCTGTGTCAACACATCTTGTGTTGGTATGGGGAACATTCCCAATTTCACGCTTATGGCAGAGGCGTTAATTGCTCACGCGTGATTAACTAAATTAGCATCCTGATTAAGCCGAAATGCGCGGGCTCTGGCCCGTGGCACGCTGCGTTTACGCGGTCAATCTCAGACGTGTACAGACAAATGCATTTTTATCATAGGTGCAGCTATCATCAACCAGTTTTAGAAATGCTTTACGCATAGATAACAAAGACCTAGTTCATTGGAAACGAAAAGCAGGTCAAGTTGTATAATTATGAAGACTGATCATTTTTCGATCAGAGGTGGAATTTTGTAAAGCAATCGTAATCATTTGACGTTTCATAACGTACGATAAAGTCAGTTAAACAAAGCGTTTGACAGAATAATCGTACGTTATGAACTGTCAAATTATAACGATTGCTTTACACAATTCCACCTCAAGTTACAGTGAGTGATGCAGTGGTAAAAATATTTGAGACCCAATTTCTATAACTTATGGATTTGCTGATTGTTTTTTGAAACTTGCAAATTACTTAGTAGACACGTAGCTTTTTCTAAACATTTTTGTTAGCCTGATAGTCTATAAATTGTTGTCTTGTAACTTTAATGTTGTTTCTTGTAGTATACCTGTTAAGTAATCACAAGTTTCACTACAACGCAAACAACATAGTTATTGTTTAGTCAAATACGCGAACGACAAATTAATGTTCCCATTTGCAATGGAAGCCTTGTTCCATAACCTGCAGGTGCGCTGTTGCTTGCACACACACTGCACACAATATAATTGCAATACCCCATATTGTAATCTCCGGCTTTGAGCCCCTGTGGTGGCATTATATGGGTAATCACGGATTGTAATACACTTGACAAGACTATAGACATCTACATAGGCTAAAAGCCACAGCACACATGCCACTTTTAGCATAGGCGATCTGCGATTTATCTGCTTTTTAGAAATCTAATGCAGCGACAAAACATTTCACATCGTACACTTAAAAACGCTAAACGAGGCAATTGAGTCACTTTGCAGAAACTCGATGCAGCGACAGCAGTCGGTAAAACCGCGTCTGAACTCATGAAGTCGCAAAAACGCGATGCTGCATCGATGCCATCGCTAAATCGCCGATCACCGATCACCGATGCTAAAAGTGGCATGTGTGTGTACTGTGTACTGTGGTTCTAGCTAGGACCAGGCCTCCGTCACTCGCCTATGCCGGCCGAGATAATTACCTACAGCGCGCGACAACTTCAAGTTGCAAATCAGTAAGGGCCGCCACGCGCCTGTTTGCACACGCGTATTTCTATACACGCTAGGTCGATCATCGTCGCAATCAAGGTTTATTGTTCCAACAGCACTGTTATTCTTCTTTAATGGAAAATCGTAATATTTAGGAATTATAATTAACTGTAGTGATTTAAATAATTAAAAAAACTGCACTTTTTTTAAATACTTATGCCAAAAAACTGTAGCAAAAAAAATATTTTAGCTAATAAAAACATTAACTTTATTTCACCGTGTCTATTTTCCGACACTACACCTTTTAAAACTGTTTGTCCAATTTCGAATTATCGCAACACTGAAGTTTATTAATAGGTACTTTAGAGATCGTACGATTATAAAAACACCACTAGATTAAAGTTTACCAATCGTACATACAATAAATGCTTCTTAAAATTAAGTTTTTATTTATTTTACTTTGCTTATACAACCCTGACGCTTGAGCTGTGTGGTAGATCAATTCTGAATACAAAAAAATTGCGCTCTTGTGAGCGTAGTAGTAAGGTGCGATTTCGAATGCACCATGTGTGTTGGATATTTTGCATAATTATTATTACCGTTAAAATGTCGGCATCTGATCCTACACAAGGGAGTGCAATTTCTGTTGCTACTATTATGTATTCTGTGCTAGGACGTAGGTTAAACTTAGACGGTTATTCCAGTTATACACTGAATCGGCACTAAAGCTCGTATTCTGAGAAGACGCTCCAAAGTTGAATCCAAGTGAAGATAAACCTTTGATTGAGGAATTTCATTATTTAGACCATTCAATGTTCCGGAGCTTTGTGTAAGCCTAACCTGGTTGTATTCTCAAACGACAAGCCGTACCTATGAATTTGAAGCTACAACCAATCGGTGTCGGTATCGGACAGCCGATTCGAGATTCGAGGAACGCTAGTTCAAGTCCGTCGCTGGACTATTGTGGGTTCACCGTCCAGCGGATTACAAATGCAAGTTTGCTTGATTGGAGAGGTGTGTAGAGGTTTGTGCAGTACAAATTATATTTTTGTGCATTTTTTGGTATCAGGAATGAGTTATGATATAGCTATCAGATTTTCAATGATTGTAGGTACGTCCTTGAAGCTGAACACAATCAAACTATTACATAGGGCCTTAAGTCAAGTTATCATGCAATACTTATGTCATTAATTGTTCGTGTATAATTTTGTGTTTTGTGTTTAGTACTAAACGGATAATTGCTGGAGAGGCACCCGCTGAAAACCAGCGTCGAGGCGCGCGTATGCACGCGTGTCTCTGTAATGCTGAGCGGGCGCCTTTTTGGCACAAAATACCGACAGTCATTTTATTTGTATAGCCTATGTCTGTTATTTATTTTGTGTCAAATAAAGGTTGTCTATTCTTACTTACAGTTGAGCCCCAGATCGTGGTAGGTGAGTATGGCGGGCTTGGCGCGGTCGCCTTGCACGGCGACGCACAGCTCGCCGCGGTCGGTGCGCACGCGCGTCTCGGCGCACGCGCCGTCGCTGAAGCGCCGCGCCGAAGGGAACACCAGCTGGATGTTCTTCAGCTCGATGTCGTCCATGCTGCCGAATGACAACGACTGTTATAGATGACCCACGCTGAACTGTCCCACCAAACTCAATGACAGGGGGGCGCTACCATCGTTCAACTATATGGTTTCCAACATGGCAAAAATCGGAACCAGCGATCCGGTATTGACGGTGGCGCCCCACTGTCAATGTCATCGATAGGACAGTTCAGTATTTTGGAACTATAGAGATATTGGTGGGTGTTGAAAGAGTTTGAGCGTGTTGGATGCAGTTTGGAGATCTGTGTACCTACCATGAGTTTACGTTAGGTGTGCTCGCTAGCGAAAACGTCAAAAATCTCTATGGAGATTTTGTTTCTTGAAAGTAGCCGCTAGGGGCGCTGCACAATATGTCGTACAATTAATGTCATTTTTTTACGCAGTCGCTAGCGAGCACACGTAACGTAAACTCATGGTAAGCACACTGCATTCAACTCGTGCACGGATTAACCGTACAGGCCGTAAGAAAAAGTTTAAGGCTGGGTTGCACCATCTTACTTTAACTTTCGAACGTCAAGACCTTGACAAAAAACACCGGTTATCGTTAAAATTACCGTTTAAGTTAGGTGGTGCAACTCATCCTGTCTAATTAATTCTTTTTCATTCAAATTCTTTTCCACATATAACATAAACGATGTTAAAAAATCAGAAATTATTCAGTACTTCACTGTTTTTGTTAACTTTTCTCTTACAGCATGTATGTATTGGCAAAAATTATGGTTTTTGCGAATGCGATGCGATCACATGTTACTGAAACAAGTTACGAAGATTGTCTTTGACATACTCGATTAATTGTTTGGTTAATTTTATCTACAAATCAAGTTACTATAAACACAATTAGCTAATGAATAAACCTATTGGATTACAGGGATTGGAATCCACGATAATTAGCGTAATATGTGCCCAATCCTATCACCTGATATCATAATAGGTGCGTAACCTGATGCCAGGTACGACTACATAATAATAATGTGGTAATAATAGCAGTAGAACACTATGAATCATTATTATAGTAAGCCGCCGTATTATTTATCACCTAACGTTATAATTTATGAAGCTATGTATAACCATTAAATAGATAGAAATGTATAATTATGTATAAGAAAACAAAAGGTACATAAAGCATTACTCTCAACACCCTCAACAGGAAAAAAGGTGCGGTTTTAACAGCTACTTTTATCGTTCTAATGGAGATTATTTAGATATCTTTATTGGACTTAAGGTTACATATTTAAGTTAAGTGAGTAGTTTAATTGGAGTTGCTGTACCATTTAGGCCCAGAACAGACGGTGAAACGCAACTGCAACGAAACTGCAACTTTCTGATGATTCTTATGAATGAAACTGAAACTGAAAGTTTCAAACTGGTCGCGTCATGTGTGGTCTCTCAACGGACGCTATGGCAGAAACTTAGATGCAACTCAAAAGTAACTAGCAGTTGCAGTTTCGTTGCAGTTGCGTTTCACCTGTTCTGGGCCTTACTGTTAAATAACACGTATCGATATACGCTGATAACTAAACGCTTTCAGTTCTTGTATAATTTTAAAAAGATCTGTTTTATTGCGCAAAAAAGACCAAAAGGTCAAACACTCAGCATCCGCTTTTGTCTCTCATTGTTTCAAGAAAATTATTACTTAAAACTCTTCTATGGGTTTATAAAATCGCAACCTAATGTCGCTTAGCTGAAAAAATCGTTCTCTACACCTAGAACAGTATTTCCCAAAGTGGGCGATAACGCCCCCTTGTGGACGCTTAAAGGGGGGCAGTAAGAGACCCAGAAAAAAAATCGGACGTTGTGTAGAGGCTTGGGAGGCGTCATTTACTAGGAGCACTCGACTCTCGACTACAAATGGGGGCGCTAAAAAGAATTTATTCTCAAAGTGGGCAGTAGACAAAATAAGTTTGGGAACCGCTGACCTAGAACAACAATGAAGATTTGCTTAGATAATAGATTCACCGCTAGTTCCAAACTAAGCTCTACCCGACCGCGACGATATTTGTCAAAGATTGTTCCCGTCTCTCCGTCTAACTAGCCCCTCGTCATAAAGGCAGGTGGGGAACCAATTTCTTGTTGGTCATTAGGGCGCGAAGGCTTTCACCGCAGGCCCTTAAACAATGCTTTATTTGTCCAAACCACATTAATTATGAAATGAAAATTAACGTCTACCGAGGGAAGAGCCGTCGGTTTATCGGCAAAGGCACAAATATGCGAAGATCAGGTCTCCTCCAACTGTCTGGCTAGCGTGAAGAGTTGAGGCCAGGCCTCTGGCAAATTAGAGACGCTCCAGTGAGACTAATTTATTTATTTATTTATTTATTTTATTGTTAGGAAAACAAACAGCATTCTATAACACATGTAGAGTTACCAATGATAATGATAATGATCTTGATATTGCTAGGGAGAAAACTAAAAACTATGCTTGGAGTATAACGGAGACGGCAAACCAGAGGCTCAATTGGTCAAGTCATCATCCACAATAGCTTTCAATATGATAGTCTGTGAGTCCATTATAAGCTCATATAAACGGTGATTCGTTTTGCCGCAGTAATGGTTGTAAAACTGAGAGAGACTGCAATAGATTGAGAGTCACACAACTATTTATAGAGCCGCACACACTCGTCTTACATTCCACATACCTAATAATTCCAATCCAATAAGAGGCGTAGGACAATGAAACACAATACTCGTATATGACGGGGCATGCGTTCCGTATAGCGCCGAAACGGTCAAGCTGTACAAAAGCTCCTTCGAGGCATTGTCTTGCTTTCATTATGGTCACGAGTATGTGAAAGTAAATAGCTGCTGAGTTATAGAACTAGCACATAGACCCATCGTATTTATACACTTGCACGACCACCGAAACAACTATTTGAACTAGTCACTACTATAGTGTGAGTTAGGAAATAAGTTAAATCTTGCTTTAGTACATACTCTCGTTAGCTCCTCTAAAATATATGCTCGTGTTAGGAATTACCAGTCACCACAATAGTCCACCCGCCTACCGGAATCGAATCAGCGACCTTCGAAGCAGTCCGATACTAGCACCGCAAGGCTATTCATTCTAATTGATAGAAACAAACTTCTACACACCCTATGATATTGCTTTCGTCAACAGTACAAAACTAAAGCCTACAAGTCGCGTTAGCTTCTGTTCTGTTATAACTATCTCTATCTATCTATAGCAGCCTTTGGGTTCGCCTTCGAACATAGGCCTCCTCTTCAACTCAACCCTCCACAGACTTCTGTCCCTGGCCACACGCATCCAGTTCACTCCAGCCTGTTGCCGGATATCATCTGTCCACCGTTTAGGCGGTCTTCATCTGCCGCGGGTGTTGTTGCGGGGTCGCCACTCCAGGGTCTTTCTGGCCCAGCGATTCTGGTTCATCCCTGTAATGTGCCCTGCCCATCTCCATTTACGGCTCTCAATCACTTCTACCACGTCGCTAACCCCCGTCTTTTCTCTGAAAACTCTCGTTATCACTATCACTTGTTTCAGTTTCAATAGTGTCAGTAATGTACATGTGCCCTGTATAGTCAGCACTCAGCAGTATATCGGTCGTTTTTGCTGCAAAATAGTACCACTATTATTTAGTTAAACCTCATTGCTTAGTAATGTGCTGTCGTCTGTACCTAACCGCACGTACTAATGGATTAATGTACACAGATAGTTTGTAAGCTATGATTTTGATATAATGTATCAACAAAACCTACAGATATGGAGCTGCCCGCTCGTTTATGGAATACAAATAGAAAGTGACATGGACTCGTGTAATATTTACGAGTAACAATGTCTATCCTCCCTATTCACTACAAACATATCGTACCTATTTACAAACATTGAAAAACAAAATGCTGCTTGTGGAATTTGAACCAACGACCTTTCTCATATACTAACCTAAGCTACCTACTTACAGCGTTAAACTATAAAACTTCGAAAGGTTTACCAGTGTCAGCGTAGCTTTGCGGTCAGAGCGAGCAGTCACCCGGCTATCGAAAAAGCGTGGGTTCAAATGATGAGAGGCGGTTATTTTGTCAAGGGACATAATATCTAATTTTAGATAAATTCAGCTTTACAAGGGCCACTAGCCTTTATTACCGTCCGTCAGTTTTTATCGACTTTTCATTAATTTATCAAGAAATATTAAACGTTAGCTGTCTCATTGGCATAAATCGTCATACGAGGAATGTGGCATCACACAGCTTTCTGCAACATTGGATTAACGATAGTCTCACACATTAATTGTTTTACAGGTACCCGTTAATAATTATAAATTACTCCAATGATATTACTTCTTTCTAGAAGTTGTTATTACAGTTTTAAGTCAACTCGTCGCGCCCTCGAGCTTTTATTATTGTAGCTGTACGAAATATATTTGTTTTGTGTAATAAAACAGGGCTCATTTCCCGACGAAGCCGCTGTAAGATGCCGAGGGGAGGGAAGCTCGCTTCAAATATGGATAGAGCTGAGCTGAGCGAGCTCAGATGCTGTCAGTCTAAATCACAGAACATGTAAGATCTTCGTTAGTCATAGATACTCGTAATTGAAGTGAATAGAGATCAAGAAGTGATGTGACGGTGTACATAAATCTATAAAGACAACGTAGGTTACTTTTCAACTTATACTTATTGTTGCTACTCACCTATAGGCAAGAAAATAACATTACATAATTAAAACCTACATACTTTAACCATGCCAATACTTGCTGAGGCTTTTAGTGGCAACACTGTATGTGAAACTTCACCATGACCTATATTTGTAACTAAAATTCGAAGTGTAACATGATACGCGCCATTATAGCCAGCCTCTTATTTACAGTATTGCCAAATACGACATTCGAATGGATCACCCCATAAAATCACGCGTATAGCTGTCATACTCACAATAAAAAGTGACGACAATCATCCCACGTACAAAACAAAAAATAAATACACAAATATTTGTGTTAGTCAACAGGGATTCTACAAATACGCCCTGTATTTTTATTGCTGTCAGTA